TATTAAAATAACAGAAAAAATATCAAAAATGATGAGGAATAGGACTTTTAAAATGACGGAGTAGTAGGAAGCAGTGGGGTGAGCACTCATCTATAAACTTTTCCAAACAAATCTAGAAAATGCACCAAACCAAATCCAAAAAAAGTCACAGTGGAGGCAGCAAGGTGGTAGAGCACTGGCCCTGGGGTCAGGAGGACCCAAGTTCAAATCCAGCCTTAGACACTTAATAGCTATGGGCAAGTCACTCAGCCCTGATTGTGCACCACTCCCACCAAGTCACTGTGCAACATTTGTCCAGCCCAACTTGGCACAGGGAGAAAGGGGTATACCAGGAATATATCAGTGCTCAAGAGGCCAGCATAAGAAAAACTGCCAGATCCATATCAGATCACTGCAATGAAAGGTGCCAGATGACAGCTTTGTTGACCATTACCTAGTTCTGAGTCATAACGAGGGTGGCACAGAAGGGCACCTGCACAGGGGAATGCTGTTCCTGGGAAGGAAGGGACTGGGCACTGTGCTGAACAAGGAGGCGGCTCAAAAAGGTAGCAGTAGTAGTAGCAGCAGCAGCATGGCTCAGATACCAGACTCAGAGCAGAGTCTCACTTCTAGTAGCCAGACCAGCCTAAAGAGGATTTTGTAATTCTGTCCCTCTGAACCAACAGAGAATTCCAGCTGGCTGACAGGGACAGAGTCTGGCAGCAGGTCACTCTTGCACAAACCCATACCCAGGTCAGTAACATAATGAGCTGGGGGGAAGAGGGGTATGTATGTGTTTTGCCCTGGAACAGATCACTTGGGGAGCACTGAAAGCCTGCAAGATCCTGGAATAACACACTATCACTCATTACCCTCAAGAAAGCAGCAGCAACAGGATTAGCCCAGATATTCCTCCAGAAGTACAGGAAGTCCTGCCCTAACATCAACCACACCAATCAATATTTTGGTGACAGGGACGCTCAAGACAAACTCAGAAGAAGAGAATGACTCCAAATTATCTGTAAGCAAAGCCTTCAAGAAAAACAGCTTGAGCATGAAATTTCAATTAGAATTCCTGGAAGAGATGGAGAAAAGAGTTATGACAGGTACAGAAGAAAAAACTGGAAAAGGGATTAACAGCTTTGCACAAGAGGTAACAAAATCTTGCCCAAGCAACAAACTCCTTGAAAATAGAATGGACCAATTAAAGGCCAACCACTTTAATGAGGCAACAAGAAATATTAAAACAAAGACAAAAGGCTGAAAAAATAGAAAATATAAAGTATCTCATAGCAAAAACAACCAACCAGGAAAACAGAGGAGAAAAAGATGTAAGATGAACTGATGCTGAGTGAAGTGAGCAGAACTGAGAGAACACTGTACATAGTAACAGCAGCGTGAAGTGATGGCCAACTATGACAGACTTAGCTCTTCTCAGTAATACAATGATCCAAAACAATTCCAGAAGACTCATGATGGAAAATGCTATCAACACCCAGAGAAAGAACTATGGAGTCTGAATAAAGATCACTGTTTTCCCCTTTTTTTCTGATTCTTCTTTTACAACATGACTAATGTGGAAATGTTTAATATGATTGTACACGTATAACCTATATCAGATTGTCTGCCATCTTGGGGAAGGAGGAGAGGAGGGGAGGGAGGGAGAAAAAAATTTGGAACTCAATATCTTATGAAAGTGAATGTTGAAAACTATCTTTACATGTAGCTGGAAAAAACAAAATACTATTAAGTAGTGAGAAAAAGAGAGGAGAAAAAGATGTAAGAATCACTGGCATATCTGAATGTCATAACACAAAAAAAAGACTTGAGATATCAAATTTCAAGAAGTCTTAAGAGAAAACTGTCCAGATCTCTTGGAACTAGAGGGCAAAGTGGAAATAGAATCCAAAAATTATCTCCTGAAATAAACCCCAAAATGAGAACTTCCAAGAACATGACAGACAAAATCCAGAGCTTCCAGGTTAAAGAAAAAATATTGCAAGCAGCCAGAAAAAAAAAAAAGAATTCAAGTACTGAGAAGCCACAGTCAGGATCACAAACGATTTAACAGCCACCACAATAAATGAACAAAAACTTGATGAAAATATGATACTCCATACGGCAAATTACATTGCAGCCAAGGGTCTTGCAGCAAAACTGAACATAATGTTACAGGGAAAATGGACCTTTAACAAAATAGAGGACTTGCAAGCATTCCTAATGAAAAGACCAGAGCTGCAGGGAAATTCTGAAATTTAAACACAGGAGAAAAGAGAAACATAAAAAGGTAAACATGGATAAAAAATGATTAAAAAAACCCCCAAAAACCACACCTGAAAAAGGATTAACTGTGTACATGGGGATATAATACACATATCCCCTCTGAACCCTATCATCATCAAAGTTCATCAAAGGAATACAATTAGATACTGCTTGGGAGTGGTTCTGTTCTGTTATGATCTTTTAAAAAAGAATGGAAAGGGAGCGGAGGAAGAATGTGGGGGGGAAGGTGAGGAAGGAAAGAAAGGCTAGGAAGAATTACCTCACATAATCAGGGTATGCAAGCAGATAAACTACACAAACAAGGAGGAGAGGGTGGAGGTGTGGCTGACACTTGAACCTCACTCTCAAATGAATTGATCAAAAGAAGGAAAAATATACCAACACATAGAATTTGGTACAAAAATACATTTCACTCAATGGGGAAATAGGAGAGAAAGGGGACAAGGGGTGAGGGGGGAGAGGAGATTAAGGAATCTGAGGGGGTACCTATAAATTGGGGAATGTTCAGAGAAAGTACTGATGGAGTCTGAATGCTGATCAAAGCATACTATTTTTCACTTTTTTGTGGTCTTTTTTTTTTGGTTTTGGTCTGTGTGTCCTTTCACATGACTATTATGGAAATGTTTTGTATGGCTGCATATGTATAAACTATATCAAATTACTGTTTCAGGAAAGAGGGGGGAAGGGAGAGAATTTGGAACAAAAAAAATTTAAAACAATGTTAAATGGATGGTGGGTGACATGGACAATGTGGAAACTTGCTTTGATTGACTATCCATATTTCTTTTTTTGTGTTCTCGAGGGAAGGAGGTAAGATACAAGGAGAAGGTTGGGGTGGGAGGGTTAGAAGGCAGATCTTGGCTGATTAAAACAAAATATATTTTTTAAAAAGATTAAAAGGAATATCATTTAATCTTTTTGAAATTTTCAAAGTACTTCAGGAACTTCAAGACTGCTGATATCATTAATTATAACTATTAATTACAACTATCACAATGTATACGATCTATGAGTTCAGGCTAGAAGGAATATCCAAGATCATCTAGTACAATCCCTTCACAGAGAAGAAAATGAGGCCCCCAGAAGTAAAATGACTGGCTCTAGGTCCCATAGTTGATAACAAGCAGTAAGGAGTCAAACTCAGGTCCATAGGGGGAATGGAACATGACCCTGAGAGATGAGTTAGTAGTGATTAATCAGATGGCAGCAATATGAGTTGAATCCCACCCTTCCTGGGGCTTTTCTCCAACACAAACATTCCCACCTTTCACCAGTCCTTTTTAGTTCTAACTAGCCATTTTGCACAGGGGTCATAATCCAACTGAGAAGAGAAAGAGATAAGGACCAGATTTGCCTCTTCACTGCTAAGGGTGAGGAAGAGCCTCCCAGTGCAAGTCTGCACTGTGTTGGAAAAGTGCTTGGGGTATTGAGAGGTTAAGGAATGCTCAGAGCTGCCCAGCACTGGGTGTGTCAGAGGCTAGATTTTAACTGGACCTTTCTGTTTCCAAGACTAGCTCTCTATGGACCACACCAAGAATACAGCGCTCCAATAAACCATGGGAGTCACACAGGTACTCTAAAGGGTATAGCTTCCCTGGGACACAGCCACTAAGGAGGATGGAGAAGGGATGAAGGAAGAGCATCTGATCTTGTTCTCACTACTCATCACAGGATAACTGATATCAGGTTGGAACAACGTAACTCAGAAGCCCTTAGTCCAGCCTTCTCATTTTACAGATGAGGAAACTGAGATCCACAGAGCCTAATTTGGCCAAGGTGATAAACGGGACCCGAACTCAGGTTTGACGACATCAGAGTCAGTGTTCATTCCACCACGGAATTATGGTCACTAACTAGTTTTTATAAATGTAACAAAATCTTAAATTGTATCATCTTTAAAAGTGATTATTTTAGATCTCTGCACTTTCTAAAGGTTGATGTCTTAGAACAAAGTCCCAGTGCTTGAGGTCAGTTATAATTCTGGCCAAGGTTATAAATTTAAAATCAGTGATATGATGAGAGTTAATCCTTTTGCACAAAATTTAAAAAAACATACAAATGTACAAATGCTTACAGTATAGTGTACCACAAAGAACAAAAAGCCCAACAATCTAAAATTTTCCATTTATTAGTCATGTGGCACAATTAAGTCCCCATTAACCTCTCAAAGCCCTCATTTCCTTCATTTGTAATTGAGGATAAGACCTGAACTATCTATCTCCCAGGGCTGTTAAGAGGGTTAAGGGAGACAGTACATGTAAAGTATTTTGTAAACCTAAAGTACTACATATTATATTCTCAGACCTTCAAAAAGCGCTGGTCCATGCTCTAGAAGATACAACTGAGACTGTGGTCTGCACATTTTAAAGTGTCTTAGCTAAAATGGGCACTGGGCCCCTCATTTGCTGAGGCTTTATACTTGAGAGACATACTAAAAACGAAGCTGCTCTATTATCTCTTCAATCACTAGTTACTTTCACTTCAGACAAAGTAAGTGATGGGAAGCCAAACAGGAAGAACTTTCCAAGTTCCTCCATGGTGGGAGCTCCCAAGCATAACACCTAAATCTCCTTTCATAACTAGCATTTCTGTTCTTCTTGAAGGCTTTTATGCAGTTACTATCTAATCATCTTTCAAGCACATACCGTGGTGAGTTCTTTTTCTACAAAATAATTATTTGCCAAACAGCAAATCACAGTACCATTCACACTCTCTGCACGCTGTAGCATATGACTCACCTGACACTGGTTAATGGCTGCATGGTTGCCATGGAATGGAGACTGTCGGTCTTTATCCCGATGATGCCTACTGCTGTGTTTACTTCTCTGTAACTGCTGGCGCAATTTTGCAATCTAAGACAGGAAAGATAAGAGGCATCATTTTAGAATCTTTTCCCTACTATATGAAAATATATACAAGCATTAGCCACTATTTGGACATAGCATATTTGTCAGACCCCAAAATTAAGCTGTTAAAACCACAAAATCTAATCTCAAACAAAAAATTTAAACATTTATAAGAATACTTTTATGTTTATACTGCTCCACTAAAGTCTTATTCTGATCCTTCACTGTGGAGGAAGACAGTGCTGAGTTTGTTTTTTAATTAATAAGCATTTATTTTCTCTCCCACCCTACTGAAAAATAAAAACAAAAATGTATAGTCAAAACAAATTCTTTCATAGACAATTTTAAAGATGTATTTCTCATTCTTCATCTTGACTCCGTCATCCCTCTGTCAGGAAGTGGGAAGCATACTTCATCACTGATCCTCTGGAACTGTGGCGATTAGAAATTGCATGGATCCATTTTTTCTTAAGTCTTTGAAAGTTGTTTGTCTTTACCACGTTATTGATACTGTAACAATTTTTTCCTACTTCTGCTCATTTCATTCTAAAGCAATGCATACACTTTTCCCCACATTTCTCTGAAACCATTTCTTTAGTTACATCTTACAGCATGATAGTGCTCCATATACATTCATACGTCATTATTCATTCAGCTCTCCCCAGGTGAGGGCACCCATTAAGTTTCCAGTTCTTTCCTACCACAAAAGGAGATGCTATAATTTTTGTGTTGCTGGATTCTAATGTCACTTAAGCATAATATATGGTAGATTCCACAACAAACTAGAAAGATTTTGACGTGGTGCTGAGCCTGTTGTCAAGAATTCATCAAATCAATTAGTAACCATTTATTAAATGAAGGAGTAAAAAAGTATTTACTTAAGCACATATGAATGGCTGGACACAAAGGATGTAAACACGAAAGTGAAACAGTCAGTCCTTGTCCTCATGAAACTTACATTTTATCAAAAGAAACAATAGGAAGACAGAAACGTCTCTATCCTTGAGGAGTTTGCCTTCAATCAGAGGAAACAACATGTGTGTTCAGTAGATACAAAATAGGCCCCAAGTAAACACAGAGAAAATTGAATGGGAGAAGAATGGCAGCCAGAGAGTAAGAAAAGCCTCTCGGATGCATAGAGGCGGCAGCTCCCAAGGACAACCTGGGCAAAGGCAAGCCAAGTCTAACCAAGCTTGGAGAGGCTCATCACCAAGGCTGCCTACTGCACAAGGTCCATCTTGGCCAAAGCAACTCTAAAGGACCCTCTGTGGAGCACAAAAAGACTATAATCTGCACTGACAAGGGGAGAAACTCCTATGAATGAAATGACTGATACTTAGTCTTCATATCTTCAGTGCCTCATATAGAACTGGTTCCCATTCTAGGTACTTAGCAGTCAGAATATAGGGTGTTCCATAAGTTTTAGAGTTGTTTAGACTGGGAGTAATGACATCTTTAGATGTAATTAGAGTAACTTTAGAGTACTCCAGAGTAATGACATCTTTAGCATGTGTGACCAATCAAATCTGACATAATTACCTGACAATTCACACACTAAACAATTAACTTATTTCTCCTCAAAACACATATAGAATTTTCAAATATGCTTAAATTTTGTTTTATTTTAAATCCAAAGAACTCATCCCACCCCATCAGCAGAAACAATTCCTTTTCAAATGTTTTGAAATCTAGGAAGAGATATTTTTAGACTATCAGTTTTTGCATATTTACACTACATAACAGTGAAGTTATCAGCTGTATTTTAACATCTGGGACTTGAGTAAGCCTTTTGCCATTTTGAAATAGATCAGTGTTGTTTTTGTCTAGCTGTATAGTCAATTCCTTAAATTTGAAATTATTCTTCATAAATCCCCTTTGTGGTTTAAAGAAACTATTTAAGCTAGTTTCTTAGCTTTAACTATACAGTTCTCCTTCACTTTCTGTGAAAAAACTTTGATAAATTAGCAGTCAAGTTAAAATAAGGTTCTTGATGCTCAGTCAAAATGGCTATCTTTTAAAAAAAAAGATATTGGAAAGATTAATAAATTAAATAAAACTCATCTAGTCTAAGCCATAAACAAAGCTTATTACGTTAAACAGAAAACAGTATACTGATCTTCTCTGTTCCTCATACACAACTCCACATTCCCACTTTTATGTCTTTCTTTGCAGAGGCTGTCCCCATTGGAAGAGAAGCTCCTTTCAGGCAGGAACTGTCCCCCTTTTGTGTCTGTAGTCCAGACCGTAGCACACTACGTGGCTCATAGCTACCACTTCATACGTCCCTGAGGACTGGCTGATTGAAAGTGTATCTGAAAAAAAGAAAATGGTTTTTTGTTTGCCTTTTGCCAGACTTAAAGAGGCACAGATGCTTTTCTGAAAAATACTGGTTGTTTTCAATATGAAGTATCTTACAAATTAAAAACAAACAAACAAGAGAATCTAGTCTGTAGACATCTTTTTTCTCAACCTGACAAAACCTGAGGTACAAAGGAACCCCAAAGCATCCATTAACTAGGACTTACTACAATATAAAACACCAACCGCTCCACTTCTACCCTTTCCAGACCTAAAGAACCATGGCTGTTTTCCTACAAAATACAGGTAGCAATGGACCCAGAGTACCTTGGGACAGGTCTATGAATAGTCAGTTTTGTCCTAATGATGAGAGATTAGGAGAAATAGGACTTACAGATAGGTTTTAATTTAACTTGAATAGTCCTTGCAAGGAGTTAAAAAAATTTTTTTTAGGCATTTAAGTCAGGGAAAGTGGCAGGACCAGGCCGAGTACACACAGAAAAGAAAAAAAATCCCGCTATTAGGCAAAACAAACTTGAAAGAAGGATCAATTATCAAAATATCCCAAAGAGGAAAAAAGTACTTAAAATACTATCATATGTGGTATTATGTCCAAAAAAGGAGATCAAGAAGACACCAGCAACTGCCAGATCACAAGTGAATCTCATCTCCAAAAAAAAGCCTTTATGATAGTGATCTTGGTCTTCACACACAAAGAAGACATCTCATGAAAATGAGAAGGGAAAAGACAAGCATTCGTAAATGGTTTTGTTTATAGCAGACCGCATCCTCACCAGCTAATTACACATAACCAATTAAAAAGGGTAGAGACTAAGCAATAACTAAGTTATAGAAAGCTTTAAAGTCTGCACCCAGTTTTACATATACAAGGCTCTCCTCTGTGAGGCAGATAACAGAAGCACAATTATCCTCATTTTGCAAATCAGAGATTCTATCTCTGTGTATACACACATACACACACATACATATATACATATGTGTGTGTGTGTGTGTGTGTGTCTGTACATATACATATAGAGAAAGGGGGGCACAGTTGTTCCCCGCTCCAAGTTTATGGACATATCTTCCCCTCCCAATCTATCCTTGTCCTCATGGAGGTCAGAAGACCCCAGGTTAAGCATCCCTGTAATAGATGAAGATATTGAAGATCAGAGAAATTTAGTGATTTACCAATGTTCAGACAAGTAGTAAATATCAAGCGGCACATGAACTAAAGTTCTCCTGATTCCAAATCGGCACTCTAGCCCCTGTCATTCTATACTTTTTTTAAAAAGCTGATATAGAGAACAGTTGAATATGCTATGAATAGTTACAGTTTATGCATTATTTTATTCTTTATTTTATCTGAATGTTTATTTAGTTTATAGTTACTAAGTTTATAGTGCAAAAACATTTATTTTAAAATGTAGAACTTGAAGATAAAGAAAAAACTGTTAAATGACTCATGCCAGAGTAAAGGTTATTTCCCCTTTTATGGATATTTTTTCTGTTGGTGGTAATATGAAAAACCATACTTTGCTCTAACACTTTAGAAAACAATCAATCAATAACCATTTACTTAGCGCCAACTATACGCCAGGCTCTAGTGATGGTGGTCTTTCATTTTTTGGTCTGTGTTTTACATGATTGCACATGCATAACCTATACTCAAATTGCTTATCATCTCAATGAGAGAGGAGGGAAGAAGGGACAGAGAGAATTCAGAACTTAAAATTTTTTAAAAAGGATGTTAAAAAATTGTTTTTACATGTAATTGGGGGAAAAATTATTCAATAGTTAAAAAAAACCCCACCAATTTAAAAAAGGAGTAATTCAAGTAAAGGAAGGAAGGAAAGCAGGTAAGATAATGGGAGAGGCACTAGAAGACAGGGAAGGAGTTCAGAAAAGACTCCATGTAGGGACGTGGCATTAAACCTGAGCTAAGAAATTAGATTACACAATACAAAAGGCAAAGAGGGAGTGTATTTCAGGCAAGGGTGAGAGCCTGTGCAAAAGCATGGAAATGCAATGCCAGAAAAGGTAGGCTGAAGCCAAGTTGTGAAGTGCTTTAAATACGAAGTAGAGGAGTCTGCATTTGTTTCTAGAGGGTAATAATGGCATTACTGGTAATAAATTGTCCCGATGGTAATAAAAGCCATTGCAATTTCTTGAACAGAAGACTGCTACAGTGAGGAATGTCATTTTGGTAGCTCTGTAAAGTACAGACTGTAGAAAGAAGAGATTTGAGACTGGGAAAACAATTAGGAAATTACACACGGTAAGGACTAAGGTACAGGAAGACTGGAAAGGCAGAAGGGGGCTAGGTTATGAAGGGTTTTGAATGTCAGAGCATTTTGTATTTCATCCTGAAGGAGAAAGGAAGCCAGTGAGTTTACTGAATAGGGGAACGACACAGTCAGACCTGTACTTTAGGAAAATAACTTTAGTGGCTGAATGATAGATGGACTGGAGTGGGGAGAGACTGAGGCAGGCAGACCCACCAGCAGGTTACTGCAATAATCCAGTAGTGAGGTGACAAGGGCCCGCACCAGAGTGCTGGCAGAGTCAGAGGACAGAAAGGGTATATGCTCGAAGACTGAAAAAATCTATTATCTATCCTTGCTATGTATAATAGTCTAATCAGAGAAATCCTTGCTCAATACCTGGTTTTCCATGGTGAAGGTTAGTAAATGAAGCACCTTTTTGCT